TTCCTCTGATTTTTGGGGAAGGAATTCGGATTCATCACCAAATGGGACACGTGTCGCAACGTGATTGGAAGTGAGGAGGAAACGTGCCACGTGTCGCGCTTGGAGTGGTGGAGTGTGCTGGCACGGAGTCAGAGTGGAGGACAGCTGGCGCGTGCGGAGAAAGTGTTGGGCTGGCACGCTGTCGCACGGGACCCACGTAAGGAAGGCCTTGGACGCGCGCTGACGGACGCGTGGAAGGAACGCGCGCTCTGATGAGCCGCGTGCTGAGGACCTGCACGAGGGAGAGTCGGGGAGCGTGGAAAAGTTGGGACCCACGCGGACTGATGTGACTTGGCCGGCTCAGCTACTCGGCTCAATCGGCTTGGCTCTCTCTCTGATGGCTTGCGCGGCTCGGCTGAGAGACTTGGCTCCGGATGGTTGAAAATATGGCTTTCATGGCTTATTTTTGTGTAGCTTTTTACACTGTTTTTTATATGTAAATAATTAAACAAAAACTAGACAAATTCAAATTAAAAATATTATGAATAAAAATAATAGAATTGTTTAATTAAAGCTTAAATATTTTAATATTGTGTAAATCAAAAGTAATATTTAGGGTGCATTTTCATGCACTAATCAGAAGCCCTCATCAATTGTTAATGTAGAGCATGACTTTTTTATTAGGGCTTGCGTTGCTTTACCAAATATAGTAATGCTCATGTCTCCAGTTGCATTTTCAATTTGTGTTGTCAATCTATACCTGTAATATATGAAGTTGCAGTTGATTTATGTAATAAATTATTTATTATAAGTAATGTACGTAAGTTGATTTTGGGAATAGTGTGTTTGGAATTTTTATTACCATGGAGATGGAATTGTTTTTATGTGCCCGTGATTATCGCACCACCAACTAATTCATGTTTACTTTAGCTGTCAATAACATCTGGGGTAGGAATTGTAATACAATGCTTATTCTACTGAGAAACTAATTAATGTAGCTCTTATTGTAAATCTTGTGCCCTGTGTAGATAATTAAAGATTGTTGGCTTAAATAACATAATGAAAAGGAAAAGAGAATAGGAAATATGATGATATTAACCTCGGTTCTTTCTTGGTGTAATGTTTGGACCTCAGCAATTGTTGTTCTATTTTCTGTGTTTTCTCCCTTGATGGATTGGCTTGATGCTGTTGATGGTGTTGCGAAGTCAATTTCTTGATGTTGGTGAGAGAATCTGTAGGGAAAAAAGTAGGGAAAAACGTAAGAATAATTAAGGAAAGAAGTAATATAAGATTTTTGGTTTATAAATATTATGAATTATTTTTGTTACCTTGTTATCAATGTTGTTGTTTCTAGAATATCTGGGTCAATATAAAAATTTATTGCCGCAGTGCTTGATAAATATGCATTTCCTAAGATTTGGGCAATAAATTGATTAATATCTTCATGTATTTTTGTGTAGGCTTTTTATTTTTATATGTAGGTATTTTTATAGAATGTTGAAAAAAATATCTAGATATTGTTTTACCAACACTGCTGCAAAGACTGCGACAACTGGTCCTCTCATTTATTTGAGGATATTTTCATTAAATTGATCTGCTTTGTGTCCCCACAAAGTCACCTAAAGTTGTTCGTTTCTGTTGGGAGAAGAAAATGGGAAAATGAAAATTAGAATGGGATGTTTTAAGTGATGTGAGAGTTTTGTGTCTTTATTAATTTCTATGAAATTATTAGTTTGAAGTTCAGTTTGTTTGATTGAGGAAATTATTTGTAGTTTATTTTTTGGGACTTTCTCTAGTAGTTCCTGTAAAAATATAGATTATCGGTAGTCTCTTACTTTGCAGCTATCAGATTGTATCAGAATTTATTTATTCTACAAATTTTGACAATCTAATGTGATTTTGATAAAATTTAATTGTCAAAAACTAGGAACCGGAAGGCGGAGACTGCCAACAAAACTCCCATAGTTTTTTAGTTTAAAACTTTTTTGTTTTGAATTTTTTTTATTGATGTCGGCGAAATTTGCTTGATATTGTTCTGATTAGTTTAATATTTGTAATATTCATTGATCTACTTTGGATTACAAATTGTTATTTTCATGTTGTAACTTACCTTGCATTACTTATGAGCATGACTTACTTTGCAATACGTAATGCTCCTAGATATATTCCTATGTAATTTGCAAGAAAAAAAAAAAAAAAAAAACTATGCTACTTTAGTAGATAGAGAATGTTATTAAAGCACAAAAACCTTTCAAGAAGAAAAAAGCACTAAGAAATTTTCTTCTTTCCATTAGCATGAAATATATACTTCAAGTGTGTACTAAGGCACTGTTCACTTCACCGATTCGAGTTTAGAATTCGAGTTTTGCTACAGTAAAAAGCTCTCAGAAACAGTCACATCTAACTTTTTTGCTACAGTAAAAAGCTCTCACATAAAGTCACATCTCAACTCGAATTAAAAACTCGAATTAGCGAACTAAACAGGCCATAAGATAATTAAACGGAAATAGTAAAAAATAAGTCAATATGAAAAACTTAAAGAAGTATATAGGCCAACTTTTAGTTATAGAAATTAATAGGTCATAACTTGTCAAGTTATGGTTTATAATCAGATAAGTTATGGACAAACTTGTCAAGTTATAGTTATCAAGTTATGGTTCA